CGGCTCCTGGCCCCCCGCCACGTATCTCCGGTTGTCGGAGCCGACTTTCTTCCAGCTCAACATTTCCGACTGCTCCCTTGTTTACCTCAGTAAGGTGAGCGTTCCCCTTTAAATTTGCCCCCCATCGATCTAAAAAGTTTTCATTTATGTCTTGCTGAATCTCTTATTTTAATGAAAGTCTAGGTTTTACTTGGGCTCTGTTGTTGTAAATTTCAAATCTCTACTCGGTGGGTGCATATTAGGAATCAATATGTAAGCTTCCTGAAATTTGTTTCATTTAGGGCTGATTTGGGTTAAGGCAAGTGTTTGGAAGTAATTGGAACAATGGCAAGTGTTGGATTCGCTAACAGTCACTGAACCTGAGTTCCTACTTTTTTTTTAAACAACTGCATACATGGGAGAAGCGAGTTAAACTTGTGAGGCTTGGAAGTCACCTTTACTTTTGTATTTTATGAAATTTAATAGTAAAATATCACATCTTTAAAATGAGAATGAGTTAGAATGATTATTTTACTTGTAATAGTAATAAAGTGAGATAAAGTTAATAATGGACAGCTAAAAATGGAACTCATTGCTATCCAAATATACATTAGATCTAAGTTCATGTAAAATCCTCAAGTTAAAACAAATTGATCATAAGTACAAACCACTTTCATCCAAAATGGTGCAATAAAACTGTATGAGTAACTTTCTTTGGGAGTACCGAAGAAAGATATCAAATTAACTCAGGATGAAAAAACCTAGCACCTCACACAGATATATGATATAAGATAGTTAGCACCAACACAGATACAACTGCCCAATTTTTACGTGTTTGTTAAAAAAAATGGCCTACATCTATGAGGCAAAGAGACCACAATAAACTCATTATTAAATGTACAGAGGAATACAAATTTGAAAAGAGTAAGAAAACATATTAAACATTCTTCTTAACATAAAAGGATCTATTAAGGTTTTCTCATCCAAGTTGGAGCAATTTTTCTTAAAAGAAAGCTAGTAAGGAAGCATGAATTCCTCTCAAAAAATTTCCAAAGACAAAGGCAAAATGATCTCTTCTATTGCTCGACTCTTGAGAGAAGTATAAAAACTTAGAGAAAGTATTGAATGGATGTCAAGAAGGCATTGTAAACCTACACGAAGATGTAGAAACACTCGCCTAATGCATTTTATGATTGGAATCCCACACATGTTATTTAAATTTCAAAAGAGAAGCCAATAATTTTCTAATCATGCAAGGATTTAATTTAAATGTAGTAAATATGAATGATATTTTTGTCTTGATTAGGTATTTAGCAAAGGCTTTGATCATTCAGTTTGATATAACCCAACTCTTCGTTCTCCCTCTATCAAGTCCTTCATACCAACAAAGGATAAAGTTGAAGATCAATTATCCTCAAATCACCAAAAACCCCTCTTTTCACAATGCCCCGAAGAAATTCTATAATTGCACAAAGCCGCAAGTCCAAGCATTGTCTAAACTTGATCATTGGAATCACTGCAGTATGCAAATAGGATTGTGCTATGTTTAGTTATTCTAACTAAAAGCTACCCTCTTCAACTACCTTTTTCTATAATGAATTGGTATAGATTATAAATATGTTTGCTTCTCTCATTATACATTTGAACTCTCATCAAGTGAATGACACCCTGACAGTCGCAAAAAAAAAAACTATTGACTTATGGTACAAACCAAAACTTTTACTATCTCTAAACCAAAAACCTGCTTTAATAGCTTTAAAACTGTCATTACTTTGCATCTATGATAGAGAAAGTATCTATTGGTTGATACGCTTTTTAGTTAATGGTACACCAGAGATACTAAAGACAAATCCCGTTTGAGACCACCTTCTCTTATGATCACCTGGATGATATGAATAGAAAAAGCCGCAACCATGAAAGCCTTTTCTGTACATCAGATCATAATCTATAATGCCTTTAATATATGTCAAAATTTCGTTCACTGTTTCCCAATAAGCCTAACTAGACCCGTCCATGCATCCACAAATGACATTGATTGCTTGTCGAATTTCCATATTTTTGTACATAATGTCATACAAGATGCTTTTAATTGTGTTAACACAAGACACTTTAATTATATGCTTCTCTTTTGGTGACTTAGGAGAAATAGTAATAAGCAAAATTGACTAACTAGTAGAGAAGTGGTGGCCATTGTAATCTACAAGTCAACACCTTCTGACACATTAATACAACGATTCCTTGAATTCTTTTTAGTAGTGCCAACATTTTTTTCTTTAGCAGGCTATACTCAAATCAACTTTCATTTGTATATTTGTGGTATGCCTTTGGTTGCAATCAACATATCAATAAGTCACAAGAGAAAATATACAAAAGTTCCATTTCTAATCTTTTTGTGATACACAAAACTATTAAGGGCCCATTTGGGGCAGCTTATAAGTGCGGGCGGCGTTTTGTAAATGTCGCCGTTTCGTTTGTTTCGCACTTATTTACAAATTAATGAAAATTGCGTTTTTAATTTTGTAAAAGACGCGGACCGCGGGACACCCCCGCGGCCCGCGTTTTCGCTCAAAATTTTACTGGCATGCCCTCACACGCATCCGAAGAGGTTGGGTAACGGGGAAATCTTTGTCGACGATCGAGATCGGAACTCGTATGGTATTCAGGATCTCCATCGGCGGCATTCATCGCAGATGGAAGGCGGTCGGTAAGGGTTGGGGAGTCGTCAGGGGGTTTGCTGTGTTTGTTTAGCTTCTTCGCCATCCATTTGTTTTGGGAGAAGAGGAGCTCTGCTCCAGTTCGAAGAAGGGGAAGTGGGTCTCGCCGAAGAACACCATTGAGTTCGATGTATGGGAGTCGGAAGCTAAGGATGATGAGGATGGCGACGAAAAAGGAGGGATTTTGTTCACCATGTGGTGATTGAAGCCATGGATGGGGAGGGAGAAGAACTGAACAGTTTACCTTCTATTGGGGACTTGCAAGCAGGGGATCGAACCGAGAATGTGGAGAGTAGATGTAACATTTTTTTTTAATGATATAAATGAGATTGAGGTTTTTTATTGGTGATTTCATTTCTGAATTTCATTTTTTAGTTTGATATTTAATTATTTCATTCATGGCGGTATTTATATTGACAAACTCATATACATTGTTAAACTGGTTCATAACATTTGATGAGCATCATTCCATGAACTAAATTCTTTTGTATTTTCATGTCTTAACATTTGAACTTTAATTTAACAAACTTGTTACATTTTATATGAATTAATGTTATGTTGCAATTTTTCGGTGGTGTGTATGTGTCGAATTAGTCTGAAGAGGGTTAATCAGCTCTAAAATATCTAACATGTATACATTGTCGTTTTGTCCTGAAGGGGGTTAATCAGCTCTAAAATATCTAACATATATACATTGTCGTTTTGTTGAAAAAATTACAAATTCTGCGTGACAGGTTGATCATTTAACTATAAAAATCTGTAAATAAACTGTTTACAAAACATACAAACCAAACAGCTAAACAATTTTATCCAGAACATGGCTAGAATGGTCATTTATCCAGAATCAGCTGTTTTCCAAACGCACAAACCAAACAAACAGCCAGCTTATCTGGATCAGCTGCTCATCAACAGATTATCAGAATAAATTATCAGAATAAGCTGCTTATGCTGCTTATCAGCATAAGCTGGATAAGCTGTAGCTGCCCCCAAACAAACCCTAAATGGGCTTCTATTAAATTCATGATTAATCATGAGCTATCAAACTTCTTGTACTTTTGATTGGGAGACTGCTTTAGGGCATATGGAGACATCTTTAGTAGTAATACCTAATCTTGTTGTAACTTCAAACCTTTATGACCTTTACATTTGAATTTTTTCATATAAATCGCCATTAAGTTTTCTTTAGATTAATTTTTTTTTTCACTTCTAATCCCAGGTGCTACACTACAATAATTGCTAATAAATACAAGTAGAGTTATGCTTAACAATAAATGCAAACCTTTTTGAAGTCTATATGTTCCTTTTGACTATAGCCCTTTACAATCAACAATGTGTTTAAGATGCTCTATATGTCTTTTAGTAAAGGGAGAAGTGATATGTTCTTCTATCTATGTTGGTGTTAGCTCCTCTTGAGCTCCAAGTTCAGTAGGCTATTATGGTGAGCTATCATGTGGTTGTTTATTATCAAACTCTTTTGTGACATGCTTTTCTCCTTTTTGATGTCCTCTCAAAACATTAATCTGCGTTGACTTCTATTGGGGCATATCTTACTAATTGAATTTGACATTCTTGATAATTAAGAGTTCATATCACTTGGTATCAATGCACTAAATCCTATAACCTTTTGCTTGATGTACATATCAAAAGAATATGGAATTCTTACTTCTACAGTCTTGCTTACCTTCTTTGACACCATTGCTTACCTTCTTTGACACGAGCATAGAAAGAACAATCAAAGGGCCCATGGAATTGTATTATTTGTAGGATGATCTGGCCGTATCCTCTTACGAGTCCTCAATTAAATTATAATACATAGAGATCTGTTCACCCAAGTAGCATGCATTATGGACAACTTCATGGAATTGTACTATTTGTAGGATGATCTGGCCCTATCCTCTTACGAGTCCTCAATTAAATTATAATACATAGAGATCTGTTCACCCAAGTAGCATGCATTATTGACAACTTCTACCCAAAAAATTGTTGCTTAAACTATCATTGGATAAAACACATCTAGCCCTCTCTAAGAGTGTCATATTATTATTATTATTTCACTTCATTTTGTTTAGATGCATATACTGTAATCTTAAGTTTGACAATATTTTCCTTCTGCTAAAATCTTATACTCAAAAGAATAGAAGTCTGGTTCATTGTAAGTCCTTAGCCTCTTAATCCTTTTAAATGTTTGCTTCATAATCTACACTTTTTCTTGAATCGTTTATGCACATCAACTTTTTTGCTTTTAAGAAATTATCTATTAAATTAAGCATGTATCTTGATAGTCTTTGATCTAACACGAGAACTCGTAAGTACACTTGGTCCTATGAAGTCTAATAGGAAATCTCAATATGTGATGCTTAAAAAGAACACATTGCACATAGAACACCAAAGCTTTTGTATTCTAACACAAAATAAGTTGCTTTTGCTCTGCTCTAATGGGTTCTTCTTTGACTTATGTTTTCCTCATGTACCATTATTTAGAAAAGTCATTAGAGAAATAAATTGATGAATCAAAATCATGACACGTTCAACATGTAAAATTCTACCTTCAGTTGCGTGGCATCAAAACAATGACACCTTGGGAATGATTTAAAACTCCACCTTTGAAAGTGTATTTAGACTAATTGGAATCCAAAAATCTTAATGATATATAATTATTCTTCAAAACTAGCACATTTATTGCCTTTTCCAAAATCCTCACAGCTCTATTATATGTCTTTATTTGAGTATTCCTCATCCAAACAATCTTACAACATAAAAAACATTTGCACTATAGATAGACTTTTATGAAGTGAATCAATTTTTTTGCGGGATCATGTTATATGAATATCTATGATAAATAATCTAATCTTCAATAGAAGTTTTCTTTTAAAAAGAAAAAAAAACTGCAGTTAATAGAACTAGATAGAGCGTTATTGCGTAGCTAAATTTGTTATGCCTTTTTTCTTGAGCTTTTCTTACAAAAAATATTCAATTTGATTTCTAGTGTGCAGGCTTCTTGCAATGATGACATAAACCCTTTTTTTTCTAGATTTTGATTTTAATTCTCACTGTACCTTCATCCTCAACTTATTTGATGGAAGAATATGCCTCACCTCTATCATGAAAAAAACGGCTATTTCAAATAATACAAGTGGTGATAATGTCTTGATAGTAGATTGTAGTGAACGCAACTAAATCAAACTTTAACTTCATCTTCAATCATCGCACCCAAATTTTTTAGATCTAAAGTAGCTTGTTGTAGGCATCCAAGTGCTCTTTCTATGTTGTACCATCTGTGAATATGTGCATATTGCATTAATCAAAATACAAATCACTATAAAAGCCACACGAAAAAAGTAGTGTGATTGACGTCATCCGTCACCACACTCAAATAAAAAAAAGGGGTCACAAGTGTGAGCATCCCAAACAAAAGACCTATTCAAAGCAAGCCTAGAACAAAAATGAGCTGCTTTGTTAGAATCTCTATGAACAAAAAAGAAAAGAACTTGCTTGAAGTCTAGAAGAAAAACAATATCGGGTCCATTGCCAAGTTGATGTTGCCAAACCTTTGTCTTCATACTTTCTTTAAAAGAGGCGATAACATTTTCATTATCTCCTTCAATGTTGACACCTTTGGTTTCACACATCCACGACTGTAGGAAATCACCCAAAAAGAGTACCGCATCATACTCCACCTGCGAGCTATCCCAATATAACAAAGGTCGCCCCGCCACCAGGATAATCTTCCCTGCTTCATCCCGAATAGCCAAACCAAGGCCAACTTGACCATTAAAAAGAAGTGCACCATCAAAATTAACTTTTATCCAATCTTGGAAGAAGACAACCCAATGGGCCGAACAGTACCAAAACGTTATGTTGTACCAACCATAATGTGAAATTTGCACAATCATTACCTCAAATAAAGATGGTTGGTAAATGACTTATTCATGCAATCGATTCTTTCTCCTTACAAGTTTCCAATAACTTCATCCCCAAAACATAAGATGATTAAGGGCTTTTGGATTCTTCTTCTTCTTTTACTTTTGGTGCTAATTGGAAAATCCTTCCCATTCAATGCCTTCAGGAAATTCTTCTTATACAAACGATGCTCGTCTTTCTCTTTTTGATGTTAAAATCATTATTAATATTTCTATCGAAATTTTCAAATTCATATTTCTAGTGAGGAGAGAACACTTTGATAACCTCATTTTCTAGGTTCAATTAGCTACTCTGAACTATGTTTTCTGCAATAGAAATGACCAAATAAATTTCTATACGAGCACTAAAGAGAGCAATCAAATAAACAGGCGCAGAATTGGCCATGGGAGGGGCTAAAGCAACGGAAGACAAAGTGTTATTCCATGAAGTGCAAAAGACCAAGTTACTCTCCCATATAAGTAAAAATCAGAATTAGAGAAGGGTGGTGGGGGTTTGGGCAATTACACCTCTGGACCTTACCTGGGTTCGTCCATGCAAATAAACCTAGGATAAAAAAAATTTGCGCCATATATGCATATATAATATATAAATAATAAATCTAAACACGGATATAAGAACACTAAGATCTATAGTTTGGTCAAAATTGGCGTACATTTAGAAAGTGAGAAGGCATAGATAAATTCACCATAAATTTTACAAAAATAGTATAAATTTGAGATGAATGACAAAACATATCTAATTTTCTTCGTAAAATTCTAACAAGAATGCATGGATAAGATTTCACCAAATTGGAGCAACATTTCTCGAAGGAGATCGAGGAAGGAGGAAACAAGTAATCATCTCATAAACCCCCCAAGAACAAAAGCAAAATGATCTTCTTAGTTGCTTGCAATCTTATGCTTGTGTCTTTGAGAAGAACCAAAATTGAGAATCCTTATAAGTAATATGGGAACCATCGTCTGATGCCTCTTTAGATTGAGATTAACAGTCAGCTTGTCTCCTCCCAAATGAGAAGACAACTGATTTTCTATTCTTGTAAGGAACCAATTCAGATGTATATAGGATCATAGGAATAGGATTTATGCTTTGATTAGATATTTATGAAAATGCCTTTGAACATTTACTTTTTTATAACCCAATGCGAAGATATATCGTGGATTCTTGCTTACCAATTTGCTTGTGTATGTTATGTTTAACTCCTGTGTATGTAGGCTTTGTCGGATGCGTATTAAGCATCAGGGAATGACTTGTATGGCCACTTATGCAGCGGGAAGCCCACAACTGGATGGTGATGAGAATCCATATGAGGTGAAATTACATCAAGAAATTTAATAAACCAATGAATGCTTTGAATGGCGTAATTTCATGCTGGTATAACTTCCCTAGTCATGGTGTTAGGTTCTTGGCGTGAATCCAATAGCAGGATTTGACATGATGAAGGCAGCATATACAAGGAGGAGGAAGGATGCTGAGAAAAGAGGTGATGAAGCATATTTGGCCAAAGTAGGTTAAGAGGCAATCTTTTGCCTTTGCTACACTCCCATCGGCACATTCATACTGACTTTTAATTTATATTGCTTCTTTATTTTATTTTATTTCATTTTTTTTTTACATTAATGTTTCGGTTTTCTAATGGTCACCAAACATTACGTAAGCCTGGAATGTTTCAACTTATTTACCTTATATCATTTTGTCAGTTAGAGAAGGCATATGATAAAATAATGATGTCACAGCTTACAAGTCGGAAGAAAGGTCTCACGTTTGGGCAATTCCAGGTTAAACTCCTTACTTTTGTCCCTTTTATATTTTGATTAAACTTTTGTTTGAAAAACATATTGTTGCCTGTGATTTATGATCTTTCACCACCATTTACCTTTTGAATTTGAATATGCTTTAGTTTTGATGAAATTGTGAGTAAACTGAATCAATAATATGCACCAACTTTTTTTTTTGATAGTTGAGCATCCTTTTTATCAAAATTTTCATGGATTTAATTCTTCAATTTTGACTTGAAGATGCCCTTTTATCAATTTGTCTAAACGTGATAGTGTCTTCTCCATTATTTTAGGTCTCAAAGGATATCAAGTTTGCTGACAAACAACCAATTGTACCCTGGGGGCCCAGGTTATATTTTGTGTTCCTTATTATTATTTCAAGCTTCTGCTTGTTATTCTGTTAAGATAACTTAGGAGTTGCAATATATGTTGTTACCATAAGTTTTTGTTGCATTTGTTCCACATGGTAAATGTTGATCCTTCATTCGGCTATCGGAGAATTTATGAAATATTTAATATGGTTTTTGATCGAAAATTGGAAAAAGGGTAATTTGATCCATTTGTGAATCCAGATACTAGTGCTCTAAACCATATCAAGATATTAGAATGGTTTATTGATTTATGGAAATTCTTTATGAAAATTTCAATGGAAATTATTTTTAGGCCAATATCATATAGGAAAGAGAGAGTGGTCTAACTCTAAGCCTAGGTCAAATATTACCTTTCCTTTATGAGGGTTATAATGCATGCTTGGATTGAACTTCCAAGATATCATCTTGCTTGCATTTGCATCAATATTTTCCTTAATATGTTAAAGAGAGAAAATGTTGGAGAGAAAAACTGAGGGGAGAGAGTGACCTGGCTAGAGAGAGAAAAGATGGTGACCACTGACCAGCTTTGGGGAGAGAAGAGGCGGAGAGAGAACCCATGGCAACCTGAATATATTCCATAGATTTAGAAATTGATAAGCGAGACTTGCTTTGTCTTTTTATTTTGATTAGTAGGAGATGACAACCCATAAAATAAATGAGAAATAAATCTTTTAACAAATATAAGTTTTTGGTAGCTATCTAATTCACAAATTAATTGTAACACTCAATTTTGGCAAATTTAAGGTATACCCCAAGTTTTTTATCCCTCAAAATTCGACCAAGTCAATTTTATAAATTTCTATATGTCGAATCGATCAATTTGATATATAATACCAAACATGAATTTTAAACGTACGAGAACATATAAAATTATGGAGTTATAAGTTTAAATAATTTAATTAATCTCTTGATTATTCTCTCTAATCCGTCACTGTCCCTAGCCGACTCTCCTGCAGTTAGCTGCGCCTGCGTTGGCTTGATTCGAACAATGGCTGAGAGCTTAAGGGTGTACATTAAAGTGCCGCACTCCCTTTCAATTCTCCCCCTCCCTCACTTCATTTAGCTCGACTGATGCTTCAGTGATCGAGTTCCTGTAACCGTGAGATCGCTAATACAATGGAGGGATTAGGAACAATTCCTGTAACTCTGTAATTTTTCTATTAAACTAATACAAGCAAATAATAAATATATACAACTCAGACTAACCTTCATAAGTGGATGGAAATTCTAATCATCATGATAAGAAGGAAAGAAATAAAAACGTAATAATGATAATGGATAATTAAGGGAGAATAATTTCTTCTCATCGAATGTGGCAGCGGACCCATAGTTTCCTAAATCGTGGGTGGGTCCATGTGGTCGATGATTATATGAATATCAATACTATTGATAGAAATTGTTGATTTCTGCTTGGTTCAATTTCTAGAGTACATTTTAATGGGGTCTATTTTCATTCATGTTTCATATTTTAGGAACTTATCTAATTGCTCAGGACAAAATGCAATTACTGTTTAGGATTTTGGTCATCGGAGAATGTTACTAAAGAAAGTAATTGTTATTTCTTAAGGGCATTTTGGCTATGAATCTAACTACATGCACAAGTAAGCTATTGAAGTTTTTTGTGCCTTGCTTAACTTTTCTCAACAAATTGATAAGGATAAAAATCAAATTAGTTTGATTTAATGAGCTGCGGATACTTCTTGGGGCTTACTCTAAATCCCTTTTGTTTTAGTGCTATAGATTATCATTATTGATGAAAATTCTTTTGGTAAATATGGTAAAATTGATGGAGCGTATGATGTGCTTACCATTTGAATTTATCTTGATCTAATATCATGTAAAGGAAATTTTGGAAATTACTGAACCTTCTTTTTGCTTTGTTAATGATATTTTTATTGCAATGCACTTGTATAGGATGACATAGTCAATTCTTTAGAAGTTAAGGGAAGATGGATGGAATTTTTTAATGTTAAAAAGAAACATGGAGAGAGATTCCTGTTACCTGTTCTTATTATATTGGAGGAAAAGTCTCATACCAAGATATCATATCACAGTGGAGCACCGTATTACCAAATGGATGCCTTTATTGTTTTAAATGATTATTAATTACAAGAATGAATATCAGAAAATCTAAATGAGAAGTGCAATATGTTTAGCACTCGTTTTAGACATCAATGAATATCAGAAAATCTTACAAAAGTTGATGGCACCTATACATTCTTAAAATTTTTTTTGGTATTCATCATTAATGAATAACTTCAATATATTTTACTCTATTGAAGGTTTTCAAAATCTAGCATTAAAGACATGCGGATCAATATGGCTATTTCTGCTGCCTTTGTAAGCATCTAAAAACTTTTCAAGTCTTATTCCTTTGTTCAGATATTTATATTGTTTTCTATCAATTATTCAGAGCACCATGAAGAAATTATGCATTGACCAAAATCTGTATATTTTTGTTTAACAATACATTTAAGGAGGTTGAATTACATTTTTAGTTTAAATATGTTCTCGATTTAAAACTAAGCATCCATACGGGGCAGCTTTCTCACTGCTTTACTTTTCAAATAGCTGCTACACATTTGTTTGGTTACTGTTTTCTTGTTGTGTTTTTTAAAAAATTTATAGTGAAAAGCTGAATTTGATGTGCCATATGAAATATGTAGAAATGAAACTGTTTATCTTAATTTTTTTTTTTTATTTAGGCTTAAAAAGCTTATTTGCAGAAAGAGAATGAACTTGCTTACAAGTTACTCAAAGCAAGTTTATTTCCATCAAGACGGTCTACAATATTGTTTAGATATAAAGAAAGAGTACAGTTTTTGAAATATGTAGCTCATTTATATTTATTATCTACTCTTTTGTTTCAATAATTTGAAATTGTTGACATAAACATATCTCAACTTGATCTTTCAGGCAATATGGATTTTTGTCAAGCGTAATGCTGAATGGAGGCCTCTGCAATTTCTGGCTTTCATTTTTTTTTACCGCATTTTTGAGAAGTTGAAAGCTTTTGAACCAGCAGTCTCTCCTACATTAAATGTGAGTGAAAGAAAAAAACTATTACAATTTTTTTTTTCTGCTTGATCATAGAGGTAATCTATCAAATGTGAATTTTCACATAATTTTAAAAATTTCTTATAATCTTTTGCTTATATTTAGAAAAATTCATGCTAGAACTGTGGAGAATAATCCCAAGGCAAATTGCTCCAATTAAGTTCTTTCTGTATAATGGTGGAACTAAAGGATGGCTGATTGGGGAAGGATTTGACCATCTCTAGATTTTTATTGAACTCTTTAATATCATATAATATACTAATAATAATTTAATATTACTTATAGATTTATTTTAATAATAGTATTAGTAAATCATTTTAATAATTGAAGAATAGGAAAATTTTAAACTTAAATACTCATCGTTTCCTTGCATTTTTTTTAAAATTTATTTCCGCCATCATCTCCTTAAACTTGATTGTGTCACTGCTTCTATATACTGTCCAATGTTGCAGGAGTATGGTGAGGATGAAGGTAGGGGCTTACGCATGGGAAAACGCATGCTTCGCTCTCTTTCACTTGTGTTTGGATGTATTGCTGTTTCTTCTTTGGTAAATGATATGCATCCCCTTATTTACTTTTTAACATTAGAAAATAGAATTAAAAAAAAAAAATGAAAAATTTTATTAGAAAGAATTGTGTTTTTCAAATACCCCCATGAAAAACTTTATTAGAAAGAATTGTGTTTTTCAAATACCCCCATATATTTATGTGATTATTCTCATTCTTTTACTTGTTATAGGGGTACACAGCAATTTTGAATTTGATTGAGTGGCTGGGACATTACATACCTGTGTTTTTGTACAACAATCAGGTAATCTCATTTTCTTTTTATACAGAGCTAAGGTTCGCCTTGATACACATAATGCAACCAAACCAATTTTTATCACACAAACCTGTTAAGATTAATAGATATAATAGAGAACTAAGGTTAGCATATAGATGGATTAGCATGCATCTCTGCAGATCTGGGTGTTCATAGTTTTCTGTTATAGTAAAATAATGTTATGAAGGCAGATGCTCAGCAATGTCTGATCTGATAACATGTTTTGTGTGTTAATTTTATATTTTGTGCATGCACAGGAATTGATTGTTACTATGGCAGCATCAATTATGCTCTATATCATGGCTTCATACTACAAATAAGAACAACTGGATCATGGCCTGATTTGTGAAATTTTGACTGCAATATACAGACACTTTTTCTCTTTGTAAATTTTAATGGTTTTGTTGATTTTGTTATTCATTAGTTGTATAAATTTTAATGATTTTTTTGGTTTTTTTGATTTTGTGATGACACAACTAACCTATGAAACTGGGCTGTATTTATATGAAAAATTAAAAATATTTTTTTCTTAAATAAAATGTGAAATGTGTGTTTTATTTGAATATTCAATAATAATATATAAAGCTATATGACAACAATAAAATAATGTGTACTTTTTCTTAATAGAAGTCTTTAGTTGTGTGCTAGGAAAGTGTAGGGGATTGAACTATTTAAACAAGAGTAAAAAATGTTAAAATTTTATTCAAATTTTTTTAATTTAAAGTTAAAAAAAGCAAATTTCAATTTATTTCTCTCTTGATGTTCCCAATATTTTCTTAAAAAACTTTTGCTTGGACCAATGAATATAGTCTTAAAATGTTGGAGACTAATATGTGTTGTTTTGGATCTTCCTCCATACCCTATCTGTGTTGAAAATGATTGACTTTGTGAGGTGGGGATGATGAATAGATTTGTTGCATTGACATTGATGGGGAGCTTCATGGTTTGTATCAACTACCAAATCACGAGAATATGCGAAAACATAATAATAGCACCATATTTTTATAAAAAATAATTTCACTCAAGTATTTTCATACAAATATTCTCTGAAAAATAATGATAACTATTTAAAAAAAAAACTATCATTATTGCTATTATTGGTAATAATCTTTAACTTATTCATATTTATATTCTTATTTTAAAAAGTATATTTTATTTTTAGATAAAAATCAAGTTTTTTACTAAAATGAGAATGATTTTGAGTTCTTTTTTTAAAAAAAAATGCATGATTTTAATTTTATCAATTAAAAAATTTACTAAAAAAATTATTTTATATATTCTTAATGCAAATATTATAATTAAGAAATTTATAATCAAAGCTCATCCTCTTCCATCATGCATGATAAAACCTTATAATGTTCATCTCTCTCTCTCTCTCTCTCCTGTTAGAAAATTTTTACAATAATGAAGGGTGTTGATGTGAGATGTGTTATTGTGGTCATGTTCTTAATTGTTTCACATCAAAATTTTCACAAATGCAACTTCTTCCATAATTGAAGTAACATATGAGCTCTATGCATCAAATAGAAATACTTATGATCCCAAAAACTAATAAATTATATTTACTAATCTAAAAGAACAAAGTCACCAAAAAAAAAATGCAAGAAAATTTTTACATATATACCAAATAATTCTCATTTATTTACATATCTAAAATCTAAATTTTAAAATTCAAGTATGCAATACTCAAATCTTTAACATCACATCAACAAGATCATTAAACTTTTTAAAATGAAAAAGCATAATTTATGCATATATTTTGACGTGATTATGACACTAAAATACTAGAAATATAAATATCAAATATTTGGGCAACTACATAATGCACATTTTCTAAAATGTACAATGAATATACACATACATGTAGTTAGGATTTGTCGACACGCCGGCATCGACACCAAAATGCAAAACCTCCACCTCTGCCTTGAGCAACAGCTATCTCATCATCAATGTAAAACCAAATGAAGAAAGGGTCCTTAGCCGTTGTTGGCTCTCGCTCCTGCTTTCCCAAGCTTATTTCAAGAGGACCACAAGGACCAACTTTTATTCTCAGGCACTCGAACAAAAAAGCTAACATGTTCTTCTTCCATGAGAACTTTCCTTCAAATGTAAGACACCCAATTGGTCCTAGATAGATTCCATTCTCAATTATTTTAGCCTGATGAACATTATAAATTCATCAATATGCATCAACTGTATATCAAAAATAATTATAGCTTTCTTAATTTACTTGTATTTCATAGATCACACATCTTCTTACTCACAAGTCACAAGCGGGTTTTCAAATGGTATCAGATGTCAAAAGCCTTGCAATTACATGACATTCGCATATGGCGCTCGGTAGAGATGGTATGTTCTAATCTTTCTAACACTGTCCATGGAACTTCAATCTCTTGACATAAGCATGTCGTGTTTAGATAGGAGATACAATGAATCACAAATCCTATAACAAACAAATTGGGACATTTACATACAAACCACGCAATTCTTATGTATTTACATGTCTAGCACTCAACATTTATATTTACAAGCATACGACTCAAATGTCCACCACCATGTTAAAAACACCACCATAAGTGCATTTTTAAAAGTGAAATACACTTTTTAATGCATGGGTTTATGACACTGAGGTGTTATAAGTGTAAATATTAAACTTTAGGAGTTAGATTGTAAATTCATTAAGAATTGCGTGGCATCTCTATGTAAATTTCTCTAACAAATTATATAATTACTGGAATCTCCAATGAATGATCTCTAGACATCAAGCAACCTGCTTTGGCTATAAAATCCACTCCAAACACCGTTAAACTTCACCTTTAACCTTTAAATCTCATGCCATTTGGGAAGAATTCAAACTATAAGTTCATTATGAAAATAAGGTAATAACAATCTCTTGCCATTTGAACATGACCTAATTATACATATTATTTAGAAGCATGACGGGACATCCTCCCTTCTCTCCACCTTCCATCAAGGCAGGCTCTAATGCAATGAAAGAAATTCTAGATGCTTTATAATCAGGAATCTCTCTTCAATTAAGCAAGGTAGCAATCATTATGAAATCAAATCACAAATTCTGGACAATCTTTTTACCTCCATGAAATTATGTAGTAATGTGCAATTAATGCTTATAAATAAGGAGTAAGTTATAATCAAAGTGATAATTATGAAAGAGCCGCCGAAAGCCCTTGCCTCATATATGATTACAAATTGAGTAACAAATTAGCTCTTGAATGATGAGTATGAGCTCATGCTTCCAGAAATGAGACAGAAGAATCATCTCAGTGAAGCTTCATTGAGTTCGGTAAAACCGAGGAGACACTTTATCACATTACTTACGACTAAAAGAGATAATGGACTTGAAAGGAACCACAAGATCAACTGTATCCTATCTTCGTTACTGATAATCAAGGATACACATTTTTAATCAGTAAAAACTGCTCCAATATGACCTGGACTGAAATACATATTCGTCGACTGAGAAACCCAGTTTCTAATGCTTTTATATGGAATTTAGAAGTCATACTCAGATGACTTAGAAAGGTGTTTTTCAACAAATGCTTTCTTATGAAGTGTAAGTCATCCTCAAAAGAATCAGTAAAATTAAAGCATTTGCTATATTCGAGTGACATCTAACATCAATAATTCTTGTGTAGGAAGAGCATATTGAAATCGAAGAAGAATACAGAGAAGAGAAAGGGACTCTGGAGGAATAGAGGAAACCGATAAGAAGAGGTGCCGAAACAGGGAAACATGATCTTTATCTTTGAAATAGACTAGGTACAGTTTATATAGTAAAATACTAAGCTCAACACAAGGTAAGCTTTACATACAACCAGATAAAATGGAAAAGCATTAAAGGCAGTGGACCCAAATAACTAACTACATTAATCTACTTCTTTAACATACCCCTCAAGCTAATAGTCTCTGCTGGAGAGAGGGTTAGTTTGTGTTTAAGTTTTTGAAATCGCAAAATAGGAAGAGCTTCAGTGAAATTGTCCGCTGTTTGTTCCCCAGATTCCAGATATTGTAAAGTAACTTCATTAGACTTGATCTGATCTCTGATAAAGTGACAGTCTATCTCAATATGCTTATGCTTGGTTCTGGCATGAAAGATAAGATTATGAGCTATTGCCATAGCCGACATGTTATCACAATGAACCGTTGTGGGTTCAGAGCATGAAATACTAAAGTCCCAAATAAGTCTTTGCAACCAAATAACTTCTGTTGCAGCTGAGGAAGATATGACTCTATATTCAGCTTCGCTTCAGTAGAAGATTGGCTACAGTTGGTTGCTTTTTCACATTCTAAGATAATATGTTAGGTCCAATGAATGTGCAATGCCCAGTAATAGATCTCCTGTCAGTGACATCACAAGCCTAGCTAGCATCAGCATATGTCTGAAGAACAAGAGGACCAGTTTGGAAAGGCAAGCCTAAGTCAATTGTTCCTTGAAGATATCTTAAGAGCAGCTAAAGGTGTTGGTAATAAATGAAGTGGGTTTTGAAAATACTGAGAAAGAGAATTAACCGCAAACATAATATCTAGACGAGTCAATGTTAAATACTGTAAGGACCCCACCAAGTGCTTGTAGAACGATGGGTTGAAAAACGGTTGAGTAGAGCCTGGTAGTTCTTTGGTAGCAAGTGTTTGAGGATTTGGTAGAGGTTTGCATCCCTTCATTCCTGCTCTATGGAGGATGTCTTTGACATAGCTGTGGCTTGCTCACTGTTATTTCATGTTAAGAGGATATCATCTACGTATAATAGAAGATAGAGTATGTGAGAATGGTGATGGTAGATATAGATAGACAAATCAACTTTACTTATTTGAAATCCAAATTTGATAAGATGTGTGGTGAATGTGTGATTCCATTATCTCGGGGTCTGTTTAAGTCCATATATAAATTTCTGTAAGAGACGCATAGTTGGGATATGTGGTATTGTTAAGAATTATAATAGGAAATAATTTATTTCTATAAGAAGTTATGATGAATAAATTATTTTCTTAATATAAGATGTTTCCTTTTATATTTTATATTTATTTCCTTGGATTATGAATTATTTGTTTTTCTATTGGTTTTTCTATTTTATGTTTTTTCCTATATCTCCTAATAATTAATATGAATTAAATATTGGAGATATCATGTGATCCATCTTTACTTTTTATTATTTTTCCTATTATAGTATACTTCTAAGGGTTATTTATACCCCTGTTCATATCAATGAAATAATATCATATTCCGCATTATTCTAAATTTTAACATGGTATCAGAGCAAGGTTTCGTACTCTAGTCACCGATCTTCCATCGAGAATTGTCGGACTCTCTCTCCCTTCATGCCATCCTCTGTGCAGGAAGAGAGGGACACTCATTTTAAACACTCATCTTGGTATTTGAAACAATGATTTTTTCTTCTTCTCTCTGCAAACTTTGTCTATTGGTCGACCATTCCTAAATAGGGAGCTTCAATCTCTGCCTCGTCGGCTGCATTGCCAATACTACAAATTCAAAACACGCAACATCGCCGAGACCAGCATCACCAGGACCTTGCTGACGGGTCTTGGCTTCCTCCAGAGATTATATACACTTGTGGTTTTCACTGCGCTGCTCTCCGATCCAATAACACCGAAACTCGGGCAATGCGACGAGCTTCAGAACATTTATCTCTATGATAATTCGATCACCGGCTCCGTTCCACCGGCCCTCGATTGACTCAAGAAACTAAAAAATCTTCTGCTATGGCAGAATAATCTTGTTGGGATGATTCTGCCGAAACTTGGTTTGTGTTTGGAGCTCGAAGTTGTCGACCTTTTTATAAATGGACACACCGGAGGGATTACTCACACGCTAGGCAATCTTACCAGCCTTCAGGAACTTAAGCTAAGCGTGAACCAGATCTCCGACTCCATTCATCCGACGATTTCCAATTGTTGGAATCTAACAAAACTAGAGCTCGATAACAACCAGATCATCGGAGCCATCCCGTCGGAAATTGGCCGATTATACAATCTCTGAACGCTGTACGAATGGCAGAACAGGCTCGAAGGCGGGATTCCGCAGGAGCTTGCTGAATACATGAATCTTGAAGTGGTAGACCTCTCTCAGAATGCTCTAACTGGTCCAATCTCGAAAGAAATCTTCTCACTGCCGATGTTCGGCAAGCTGCTTCTACTCCACAATAACCTCTCCGGCGAGATAGCGGCGGACATTGGCAAGTGCAACTCCTTGATCCGGTTCCGTACCAATGGGAACAAGATCACCGGGAACATCCTAACTAAGATTGGTGCATTGAGAAAACTCAGCTTTCTCGATCTGGGCTCAAACCGACTTTTTGGGCTGATCCCTGTGGAGATCTCTGGAAGTCGAAATCTCACATTGCTCGACCTCCATGGCAACGCAATTGCCGACACCATTCCCTATCTTCTTTTTGAGGGCCTTGCTCTACCAGAATCCGTCGTGCGGAAATCTAAATTTTGCACGACAAACTTACTGTAGCAATTGCCACAAGTATCGATATGATGAACCATATAGATCGAGTCGCAGCCCTCACAAGGGCTATGTTAGCCCCCCTCCGCACCATAGCTTTTCACCCATTAATCGTGTTCCACAAAGAGATTTTAATGGATACAGATCTGGTCATAGGAAGGGTAGCTTCAGCCTTTGGGAGGATTCCTTTGAGGAGTATCGGCTCTCGCCTCCGTTCTCGGCATCTCCTACTCCATCTCCACCTACCAATGCGGCTAATGCGTTGCAGGCTAGATTGCGATCAGAAACTCCAGTCAGCATACCGCAGCCGATGATGGGGATGAACCATCTGCATCACACTCCTAACTTTTCAGATTCGACTAGAAGCATGTTGCCACTGTCATTGCCTAGATATGCACGGGTTGATGTTTTAGAGGATTCTCCTTCTCTGACGTCTTTCAGAAAGTCCGAGGATCTTACTTCACTTCTGTACACGACTCCCAAGAAACCATGATAACAAAGATACTTTGGAGTTGGCCAGACATCATCACAAACCATAAAAAACTTCTTGCGTTGTATCCTCCTATGCCGGCACCAGCGATGGGGCTCCAGCCAGGGCGACACCAGCGATGCCGCCACCAGCCTCATCAATATCTTGCCAGAGATATCGTTGTCGTGGATTGAACAATGCTGGAAAAATTCATCACCAGACCTTCCCCCTGCAGTATTTTTTTCTTCCCTGACCCAAGCGTCAAGAGGAGCTCTGTTTCCAGCTGCCATTTCTTTTGTTGCTTTGTCAGCTGATTTACTGGGTGTGATTTGCATGTTTTTTTTTCTGCAGCCAACGACAACCGAGATCAACTAAAAGGCAGTTTTCTTTTAGGTTGTCTCTTTCCC